CCTTACGGGCAGCTTCCAGCTGCCGCTTCTGTGCCTCATCGAGGTCATTGGTGATGACACCACGTCCCTCAGGTGATGAGAGGTCTAGAAACAGACATGGGGTCCGCAAGGCGCGGCTCGCCTTCCTCATCATCCCACCCGGGAAAAGGCGTGTCAAACTCGTAATCGATCACCTCCACATCCCCAACGAGGTCATTCGTCACCGTTAGCGGGCGCGGAGCGCGACGCTCGGGCTCAACGAGCCTAGGATTTACGTCCCTCGTTGCCGCGGAGACACGGTCCGACATGGCACCATGTGCGGGAGATGAAGCTAGGCTCTGCCAGTGAGCGCTGTCGGAACTAGCGAGACTTGGAGACTTCGGTGTCATTGACACAGGGCTCATTGAGCACGGAAGTCTTCTCGTTCCAACGCAGTGTCTAACGGGCACTCAAGCCATGTTGAGGCAATAATTGCTTAGTAAATGTTCTTAATCCTAATGGGGGAGAGTGTAACGGGGCTACACATACCCAGGTAACAGGTGTGTGTGTATCACGAGATGGGCATGGTGTAACTGCACCCAAACACGAATACGGTATGTAGCTAGAAAGCCAGTAGTTATGCATGCATTTGAATTTTACTAGAAATCTATACATCTAAAATTAGGCTGATTTGCCGGAGATAAAATAAATAAAAATCAGTTTTGCATCTTAAACGGAAGCTTGGGTTAAGGCGATAATTACTCTTGGAGTAAGCGGATCGCGATCTGCTAGCTCATACTCGTGTTAAGTATAGAACAAAAGGTCGGTGACCTAAATTACGCTTCCTATAAGCGCAACGCTGCGGCAGCCCCGCTGCAAGTTTGACGTCAAGAACGAAACCTTGGTTGTGGACTTTACACATTTGATCACCATTCACGTCTGATATCACATAACCACTGAAACGCTCCACTGTTCATGTTTGTCAATTCGATCGATGACTTGGCAAATTCACTGACCGTATGTGCACGTGCAGATTGATGTTCATGCCATATTTTTAAGTTCTCTTGACTTGTATATCTTGTTAAAATTTTCCATCAAATGCCAAAACAGAAATGTTGAGTAATATGTAGTTTAGGTACCTTCAATGCTTGAACCAATCCTTTATCACGGTTAGTGATGAAAAAAGATGGCGAAGGATGAAGAAGTGATAGAAGATGATCCAAAAATCAAGTTCAATTTTATTCATTCTTTACCGCTACGATCCCGATCGCAATAATTTGGATCTCGATATTTCCATTGCGGAAACAAACTCCACCGACCAAAGTCTTCAGAAACGTTCCATCTACAGGCATACGTCATTACCAAAATAATCGTTCTTGAGCCGCTTCAAAGCATTGACACAATTCATACACTCGGCAGATATTCCATGAAATTTTATATTCGTTTGGATCAATACTGGAGTCACACTCTGCTTCCCATCCCTCATTAATCTACGAATTATCGAATTATGAACAATTTGCTTGGCAGAAGCAATCCGGTTTGCCTCTTTTCCTGATACATTTAACCCAATCAAATTGCAGGAATGATCCACAAAAAATATTTTGTTGCTTTTTTAAACGACTGGGAAAACGCAAATTGAACAACAAATCTGCAACCTCTATGGATGTACACTGCTTTGTAACGTCTGGAATTACTTGAGCACAATGATCGACTATTCGGGTAGTTGAAAACATCAATCGCTTGAGTGATATCGTCCTTGTTGGTATAAATCGAAATAGTTGCTTGAAGGACGCCGATACTTCAGTGTCACTTTCCATTGAAGCCTACCCAGAGGGAGAAACCTTAGCACCACCACATTGGAAAACAATGTGGCGCATTCGTGTCACCTTCGTGCCACCATCAATTGATAGTTTAATTAGTAAGTGTATGTTCTATATTTGCTTTTGGTGAATAGGTCAATCGGGGGTTGTCATTCAATTAGTCGTGGGCTCAATCCCACCGGTGAAAGTTAATGAGGTGTGAGGACTTTGCTATGTGCATTAGGGCTCCACAGCATGAGACACACATGACGCCCCTCACTGTAATAGCCTAGTTGGTGAGGCATTTTTTATCCCATTAATGGTTCATTTAATTGCGAGATATATATACGTATATATATATATTTACTGGAAGTTGGTATATGTTTTTTTATTTTCAAAAATCTGGTATATTGTCCTGATTTTTTTAATTTCCCTACAATTTTATTTTCGTATTAGGTGACCAATTTAATTCCTCGCTTGATATAAATTGGAAAATGGTAATACAAATTTAATAACAATGGATGGGGAAGACGTGGAGCTAGAACTACCATGGAAAGCGACGCTAGATGACGAAGCTTTTGCAAGCATGGATTATGCTACGCATCCCACGTCATGTGCAGCAGATTCGAATTCAAATCAAAGACGACACGAGAAGCCGCCAATTCTGCGACCAAGACCTTCCGCTATAACTACGACAAGATTCAAGCGCAAGTCTTTTAGCAAGCAATTGCAGTTATTATGTCTGCAACGCTATGCTGAATATGCAAATAATCATGGTCGAATCCCGGACAAGCAAAAAACCGAGCAGCTTTTACATCAGAGTTACGTGCAGTTTTTAAAAGAAGGTGGCGAACGCGACGAATGTAGACTTACATATGCGGATTTTCTAAAACTTGTGAGAAATCGGCGCAGCGAGATTAATGCGAGAGCACAACGTCCAAAAGGTAACGGCGAGGCATTTAAGCAAGCTGTGGTGCTTACACCCGCCAAGAAAAAGTTACAAGAGGAACGTGACAAGATTCGCGAATATATTGGGATGATTGACAGAACAAGAGAGCAAGCGAGACTGGTTCCAGATCCACAACAGCACTTAAATTATTCAGCACTTGTTGACAAATCCACGCAAGCGATGACGGTGGAAAAGAGTGGAGAAGAGAGCTCTTCATCAACGTTATCAGATCCTATGGAACAATTGGAGGCTATCTTGCGAATCCAGCAGGAAACACAAAATATACAGCGCGAAATTGCCGCGAGGCTGGAATCAGTTAGTCGTGCCATGCGACACCATGAAAGCCAGGTAGAGTTTGAGGAGCCATCATGTGTCAGCGTGTAATTGGTCGCGCGTGATGTGGTTACGCATTCAAAAGGTTAGAATCAGGAAAGAAGCTTATCAAAATACAATGATACCCATAGCGCGAAAATGACAATTATCAACATTAAACTTTGCGATTCGCTTTTACATGGTAATTTGATTACATTCAAATCGGCTACTTTATGACAACATGGAGGCATGTCTTTCTCTCATGATCGTTGTGCAGTATACCAAGCAAAGGGTTCCAAGTCCTGGTATATTAAGCAAAGGCATTTGAATAGAACAATCGAAAAAGTAGTTTATCTGACACACCAAAAACTTTGCAAATAAATTACAATCATCGGGTTCTGGTATGCGCGCCGACTAGTTCACTATCGTCGAGCCGTACAAAAAATTGCGATAAAGCCAAACTCATGAAAATATTATTGCAAAAAATTAAATCCAGTCACCATCACTGTCGTCGCTGTCATACCCGTCACTATCAGAAAATGTGGAACTTGACGAGTTATGTGTGGTATTTGTGTTATTTGTAGTCACGGTTGGGCTTGCCACTGAACCATCTGCGAACAAGTTTGAGACATAACATGAGCTGGTGGAAGATGGTGACGATAAGCCGGACGACAGATATGAATCTTCAAGTGATAACGATGACACGTTTTCGCCTACTGTGCGTCGTCGTGGCATTTCTGGCGTTTCAGCTACTGATCCTCTTGGCTTCGATGGCACAGAAGCTAAAGAGTGTCTCATTTTTATTCCTGTAAATCTGCTGTCATAGTGCTGCATTCTCTGCTGCTGCTTCCATCTGGTAGGAGAAAGTCTTTGTATCGGCAACGAGTTGCGTACCGCCAGGGACTGCCGCACATCATTTATCTCCCTGTTTGCGGCTTCAATGGCGTCACTAAGCTTACAAAGCCAAAGTTCCATTTCTTTGCTATTTTTCGCCGTAACTCGCAACACTCGACCAGTATCAAATGAGATATCCAGTCCGTTATTTATTGTGTTCACTTCTACTGCTCGGACATCGCCAGAGCCCTTGGCGATAGCCCCTGTGTCCTCTGAATTAAAATAAGACAACGAATTTCCACGTAACACAAAAAATCGTCGTCGCCAGCTTTTCACGCGAGCTCCCTCTTTCTTAAGCCAACCCGAATGGGTTACTTGCTCGCTGCCATCCTCGCTGAGCGACAGAGACTCTAGATGATCTAAAAGCTCCAATTCATCATCCGCGGGCTTCGACGCGGAGGCCGAAAGCGTTGAAAAGCGATCTGGTGGAGCAGCCATAAATTGTTGCGGAGCAGCCTTGGTGGCATCTAGAATCATATTATACCAAGCGCTGGTAGCTTCGGCCGATGCTGTATACAGCTTAAGCACACGGCCGCCGCGGCCGTGTACCAGCAATCCGTTCTGAATGTCAGTACTCAACTCTACAGTTATCACCTGACAACTACCCTTGGGTTTGACCTTTTGGTCTACCTTGGCTGTGTCGTAATATGTGAGCTGTCGACCACTCAAGACCATATAGCGCTTTTTCCAGCTTTTCACTATCGAGCCCTGTTTGTAAACCCAGCCGGCAAATTCACCATCAGCACCACGAAGTGCCATGAGTTATTGGTATGTTTACGTCAAGAAGCTGCGCTAACGTAACTTGCCGCTCTTAACTGCTTGGACAAAAAGCCCGAAATCAAGCAATCCCTGCTCGATTTTTTATTGTGTTGCTTAAAAAACATCTGGCATGCGTGAAATCCAGGTGGAATACTAAACGCTTAAATAATCCACAAAGAATGAAACTGCTCTCTTCGTAATTACAGATTAATAAATATACATGGGACGATTAAGGACAAATTAGGTAGTAAATCTCCGTGGTTTTCTTCTGATATATAAAAACGCCCACCATGTGACTAGGAATATAATAATAATGGAGTATAGAGTCGCTGAGCAACCATCTGGCATATCATTTTGCCATACTGAAGTCGACACACTATCTTTGTCAATTGTTGGATGACTGCATTATTTTTACTAAATTGATGCATACTTGAATAGCTATGCCAATGTTCTTCAGCAAGATTCTTAAAGATGAGCTCCACAATTAGTTGTACCTTAACTCAAAAACCTATGATGGGAAACAACGACAGTATTCATCTCAAGGAAAATCGATATCTTGGTTAATATTATTATTGCAAGCTCGTAAAAACACTAATAACGTATTATATGCGTAATCTAAAACCACGTTTGCAAGGACAGCCCGATTATCGTTGTCCTATATGCTATAAAAATTGGTAGACCAAGCTTCGGACTTGTGCAGTTGTCCAATTCACCTCGACATCATCAATATTGTACATAAATTAGTCTGTTGCTGATGACTGCAACGTGCAAACACTGTTCCATAAAAGCTTCACCATTTTTGTAAATAAAAACAGTGCGAGAAGCAGAATGCTGACAATGGTGCCATCAACAATTTAGAGATAGTGAGGGCCGCCAATAAAATAATTCAAAAACCGTATTGTGCTGAACTGTCATGGCTAGTAACTTCTGCTTACTCTGCAAATGCTTTGTACGTCAATGACATTATCATAAGTATCTTGACTAGTACTGAGTACAAGATGGAAGTGATAGTCACCAAAGTACTATCGTAATTTTGGATCAATCCATTTGAGCATGATTAAAAGTTGATAAATAATCAGAGCATTTAAGACGTTTTTCTCCAGAAGTCAGTATTAAGCATTTAATACGAATCAAGACTAGCATGAAATGACAGTTGTTACACATGCGGTTTACACTTAAGATAAGAAACCATATTTGTTGCACTGGAGTCTTCGATGGATAATCGAGGGGATGTGGCGTATAGAGGCCAGAAATAGGACGCGGTATTACAACGAACACCAAACGGAAAATTCAGGCCACAATTGTGATCGAAAAGCATCAAAAGACATACGAACGTAACGTAGCTGTCGCTCAGTTCATAGAATACGTAGAGCCGCTAGGAAAACCCCTAGCTTTTCGAAAAAGAATGAATATTGTTATCGGCCAGTTAAGGAATCTAGTCACATCAATAATAGCTGTAATTGCCGTGGAGTTGCCTTGCTTTATGCACAAAAGAAGCTTTGACTCGTAGGGGAGCATAACCGAGAGCATTTCAAATGACCAACACTGATAGTTTGCTCTGCTATTCCAAGAGTAAATATATTCTATGTAGACTAATTGATCAAAACATTCGATTTACTATGTCTCATAATAAAACTGTCTATTTCTCCAGGATGCGGCTTCGTACCTCGGGCCAAAATCCGTAATCTCTCTAATCACAGATTTCCGGGGTCATACGTGTATTGTATATAGTGTGCAAGTGTATGAATATTAAACCTATTAAATTAAGATATTGACAACACTACTAAATTGTTCTGTGACGAAACTGCACAAAACTCACCAACCACTGCGCTTAAATCAACTACATTCCTTTACCGCTCGGGTATTCTAAGCTTGCATCGAGAAATTCACCGTCATGCATCAGATTGAACGGCTCGAAGTGACTCCACCGTCTTCACGACCAACGCGCTTGTAAATATATTTGATGAAGATGAGGTGCTCTCCGATAAGAATAATAGTCTCAGTTTCCCTTCGAATATCGACCGGCCACCTCCATGTCATATGACGAAAAATAGTCTAGCCATCTCTAAGAAAAAGGCGCTTTCTGCACTCAACGCCGAGCCTCGGACTCCATCTTCTTCTCAACTACTGCCCTGATGAAGCATTAGGTCTAATTATTGGAGCTCTATTGCCGAGAATTGTTGCGACAATCCGCCGTGATATACACGTTGATCTCTAGCTCTCTTCAAACGCAATGTACCTGACTTAAGAAGTTCAGCTTATTTTACTGCAAGAGAAAGAGTCGTGCCGACTCTCGACCAAATCAGGCCGTCAATACGGATAACAATCGTCCGAAGTAGTGCTAAAGTGGAGTTGCTACACGGCTATGCATGTGAGCCTTCGCGTGCATCCACAGCCAGACAAGCGCGAGGTATGACCTCGCGAGCGCGTTCTTAAATCACAGGTCAGGTTTTATGTAGAACTGTCTGCACTTGAAGTAGCAGCAGTTGAGATTCTCTTACCTCCATGTCAGATGTTCATTGCATAAGAGAAGATGGCGAAAGAGTAAGTGACTTCGGCTGCGTACTGGGTGAGAATAAGACGCCTAATGTCAAACGACTTTACACTCAAAGTAAGACGCCTCTTTTTAGCGGAAAGCGCACCGCGTCGAGCCATCTCGCCTCTTCTCCAAGAGAAATAAATGCCGAGGGTGCGTCAAGTCGTAATTAACCATAACAGCTTTTTAACCCCAACGATTTACGGACTGATGATAGCCCTCAATTTCTTCATGTATTGGTTACTTCCCTGGTGTATCAACCGGCTCTCCGAGCGTCTCATGCAAAAATGGCCACCTCTTACTGAACGAATGTCAGCGGGAGGAGATCCTTCCACGACTGGATCTTGTGATCTCCCTGAGTTGTTGAGGTACGTTGACTCTCTCAGATAATCGTGCCGAGCGTCCAGGGATGAGATGAGACAGACCTTTGATTTTTTTACGATTTTGCAATCGCTGTCTCATAACAGAAGATAGCTCTGCTGCCGAATTATTAGATATGTTGCTGCATTACCGCTCTTCACGTTGAGCTGACTTGTAAGAGCGAGCGCGTTGTATGACTTCGGTTAACCCGCATTTGCTCGAGGATAACCAGAGCGAGTCTCATCCCTTCTTCACAGCGACTGTGAACAGTACGAAGTGGTATTCTCGCATTTTTGTCGTATACTGAATGTGTAGGTAGGTTAATTGCTTTCAGTCATACCTTCTGTGCTATCAAACAATTAATATGTGCTCTTCACTCCTTTGGCATCGATTCACTTGTCTTGTCTCTCTGATAAAGCGCCACACAACCTGCGTGGGACGCCCGAAATCATCAAAATAAACTCAACTATTTTGCTACGAAGTGTATGTGAACTGAAATCAGCGAGTCGATTAAATTAGCAGACCCCCCTTCAAAGACCGGAGCTGCTTCATGATAATGTAATAGGACACTATGGGCTTGCCAAGACAGTCTTGCAGCTGCTATGGTGAAAAAACATCGCTTTGCCAGTCCAAAATCTTGAGCAGCTGGGCGCTGTTTGGAACTATCTCGTTATTAAGACCCTTGCTCACGTACTGACACATTACCGTGCATGGCAAAGGTTTTACTCTTTGTGTCTTGATGATTGGTTTAGACTATTCGTACTGAATGTATGAGCAGTCAG